GTATACGCTGTGTTAACAGATATCCTCCACAAAAACATTGCGAAGGTGGGTAATGCAGATGTTTATGCACTAGATGACGACCTGACCAATAGCAGATCCGTTCACCGAGAGGCAACAACCGCGCAGGTCTATACTGAGAGCTTTCCTCTCCATTAGTTTATGATAATGGAAGCCGTCGTCCGCATTTCCTTTTCATTATTTTAAGATATATCCGCTAAGTGACTTCGGTGTCCGCACAGGTCCATCACCCCACCAGTCTACACTGATATCGTCTTGAATATATTAAACCCATCCGCTGCCGTACTAATGACCGCGCCAGGGATCTGCGGATGCCAATGAACTTCTTTTACATCCTCTTGCCCCTGGTGGACGAAGAGAAGCTGTGGCGGGACTTCTCGTCCGCCCTCGGGTGTCACATTCATAGGAGCGCCGACTTCTTCGTCGTCTTGTTCAACTCCGAGGTCCCAAAGGGTGACTTGGTTGTCTGCACCAGATGCAGCGAAAATGGAGTCTTCCGTAGGGTGCCATTCGATGGAGGTAATTGGGGCGGTGTGCCAGGTGAACGCCGCAACAGGGCTTGGTGGTTCCCCGCTAAAACATGCTGAGCTCTTCTGATGTGCAAGGTAAAGGATGGGCTTTACTCACCCTTTCTTTGTCACGTTTCGCAGGTCCCAGACCTTGATACCACCTTCGTCCCCACCGCTCAACAACAAATAACTTGTGCTCCTGTTCCAGCTGATAACATTTACATCGCTCTCATGCGCAGGGTTGATGCCGGTGACACTCTGTCGACCTTTACTGCGTACGTCCCATATCTGTATACTGCGATCGGCCGAACACGACGCAAATACAGTAGGTTCGGATGGACTCCACTGGATATCTTCGACACTGGAAGTGTGCGATGTAAACGGCTGCGTGAGGGCGTTAAACCCTGATGGCGTTGATGTCGTGAGATATATCTTCGAATGGACGTCTCCCGTGAGTAGGCGGAGCGCAGACGGGTTCGCCCCTCCTGACGATGCCCAGTCCATCGCGAAGCCTTCGGCGCGTCCATGTGAATTGATAGTGAATGTCGGTTTGTTCGTCCGTGACTTGTCCCAGGTATAACCAGGTGTATCAAGTGATTCTATAAGCGGCCGGATGTCCCATATGTGGACTTTTCCGGTGTCGGCCCAGGTCGCGGTGTAGTATGGGTGCGAGACTTCTGGAAGGGGTGTGGACGGTGGGAGAGGCTGGGCACGAACGCGGTTGACGCCGCCGTTGTGTGGAACTGAGCGGAACTCGAGGACGGCATCTTCATCGAGGTCGTCTTCGTCGTCTTCGCCGTCAGAATCATTGTCATCTGGAGACATCATAGTCAGTCGGAGGTCATAACACTCACGATCAAGAACCGACCTCCATCTTTTTGTGTGCGATGTAGCGAGCTCATCTTGTAAATTGATAGCTCATTCTTGCTAGCTGCGTCCGCCTGTGTTCCTGCGACCACATAAGCAACAGCAGGATATCTCTGTCGTTCATCTCCTAGACTGTCCCGTAACACATCGAAGGACAGACATGGCCAGGTCACTTTCATAGAATGCCGCATGATGTACACGGAATCATCAGCCTCCAATATCTCGTCTTTACCTAAGACATGCATCCCAGGGATGAATGCCTCGGGTGCGGGGGGCTGTTCCTCAGACTCTTCGATGGCAGGCATCACCTCGTCAATATCCATTCCTGAAACGTGAAAAAGCACAGAACGTCCTGTTTGTTACAAAGTTATGGAGCATACGCGCTAATGCCTCGTACCGTCCTCTCCTTCTCGTCTAGCTTCCCCGCGGTCAACAGCTTCCTCATCCGATTCAATCTCGTCCTCCCATGCATCTTCAAATTCGCCCATTTCGTCGGTGGTGGGCTCATCGCGCTTTGCGGAGCTGAGGGGGGCTTTTAAGTACGCTTGCCCCTGCGCTTGGGCGTCGGTTGCGGAGCGTTTGGACATTTTTTGGTGAAGAGGGAGGTGTGTTGGCTACTACTACGAGATCAGATTCGCAGAGACTTGCAATCGGTATGCTCAAAATTATCGGGCACGTGACCACCCCGATCATCAGCAAGCCGTTTTGGAAACTAGGAAGCACGACCAGGCTTGAGCCAAATTGAAGGCAAAGCTAGGGTGAGGACGTCGGGTACTTTGATTCAACCATTCCATGGACCAACGACCGTCAAGGTATCGCCCAAAGCATTGAGGCCGGGTGCTCGTCTTTATGGGAAGCGACTTCGGGTTTGCGACAAAGGCTCTACTCACCCCGCAGCACCAGATTTTGCAGCGGCGGCTCGGTGTCAAACAGAAGAGTTCTCGCAAATTCTCCACCAAAAATACATCGTTACCCACGAATTTTCAAGGGCAACAGAACCTCCACGTCAGTCCATCAAGAGTGTACTGTAATCCGTCCTCGGTCGCCATCACTTGCGTTGCTTAGAAATCCAAAGGAGCTTGCGCGTATCACGTACGGCGACGGCACGGGTTCTGAGCGGCTTCCCATCAAGCTAACGTATTATCACTGGCATGCGTAACGCGAGATCAAACAGAGTGCTGCCCTGCTCAAGTCATCATGCTGACTGAACTCATACCCCTGCGTGCCGAAGAATATATCCACGTACGATCCCGGGCGCTTCGGGGCCCGGGGTAACTGCTCGTTGAAGCGCGCTTTCTAATCCTTTAGTGTTCATTCAAACATCAGGGGACGCGTAAACTTTGGTGTACGCGAGCGTGTCATTTCCCATTCGGGAAGGCAGCGTGTACTTCACTGCACATTCCAGGATCCATAAAGACGAACGTGAGACTACTCCCAAATCATCACAGAACACTTCCCTCGCCTTCTTTCCTGCACTCGAACCAACCTCGCTCCACCATGTCTGCTCAGATCGTACTTCCCCAAGGGTATGCGTCCTTCGCGGCATTCGGTTATGCGAGGTGTCTAACGGGTTCTATGTTAGATTCGGATACGTCCCTGCGTCCATCGTGTCCCTTGGCTGGCTCCTTGTTTGGCAGACTTTCCTCGTAGGAAGGGCTCGCAAGCGTGCTGGTATCGCATATCCTCAGTGTGAGTAGACGTGGCATGATTGTCGTTCCTTCTCACCTTTAGCGTTCCCGTGAACAGTGTACGCTGAGCAGGTACAAGTCAAAGCTAGCCCAGAAGCTCTCCAATTCAACTGCACTCAACGTCAGTTATTCTAGTCGTGCCGGTCGATGATCGTCTTATATTTATTACCTTGCTACAGGATCCCATCAGAACACTCTTGAGGTTTCTCCCATCGTGACATTGTCGTGAGTTCAAGCTGAGATTCTTGCACAAGTTGAAACATAACATATCGCACAGGACTCTGGTATTGGGCCTGAAATCTCCCTTCGCTGCGGCTACGCTATGCGGCGGCTTCGTTGTTGGACGCATTGTGTATACCCTTGGATACAAGTCAGGCAACCCAGCCAGGGTACGAAACCTGTATGCTCATATATCTCCTCGTGTTTTATACTAAATCCATTCTCAGCGTATTCCTGGCGCTGCGCTCGGTAACTTCTCCATGTTGGGTGAGTTCGATTTTCTGGACTTCAGCTCCTCCATAATGACATCTCATCTCTCCGTAAGGTCTGCTTGCTGGAGCGTCCTACGCAGCCTACGAGTTTTTCCCTTTCGCTTGACGCGCGGTGAATCTGCAAATATAGCGCACATTAGATCGAACTTCATCGGATTCTCGCTGTCATCCATCACTAGTATCCTTGCCCTAATAATTTGACACGTTGCGTTGCTTATCACCCCATCATGAGACTTCGTGCGAAATGAAGGTAAACCTAGGCAGCTTCATTACAATACATAAACCTACACCCACGTTTGCCTCTCGCCTTCCTTCACTCGTTGCTCCAACCACTCAATCCAACTTCCAGCGATCGGCCCCTGGTTAAGGTACATCCCCGAATGGGACGAGTAGACCTTCCCAAAGTGGATTCTACCAGGACTGTCCTTCGTTTTATCACATACCAAGAAATGATACCTCCGTGAATCAACCATCCAAAGTTCGAGAGCAATTACCCTGAAAGACGTCACGACGCTGTTTTCGTCATACTCATACACATCCTCATCATCTGCGAAGCGGTTAGGGTGAAGGAGGTTTCTTGCGCGGTAGTGGTCTAAAATATCCTTGAAACACGGCCATCTGGTAAACAAATATGGATGAGAGCACCCCGGGACCAACATATGTACATACACCAACGCAACTGCAGCTTTGAGTGGCCATTCGCGGATGTAAAATTCGAATTCCTCGGGCAGTACAAATTGCGGTAATGAGCCGCCGAGATTGCGAATATACTGCTCTCGGTCGAATGTTTGCAGCTTGGAAAGGGTTTCCTGCCGCGTAGCCAGAAACACCGAAGATTCGATGACGGATAGGTATAAATCCAAGAGTCGTCTTCTCATCGGAAGAAGATCGGACAGCATCGTCAAGCTCCGCCACTTGGAGCACACTCCTCTGGAGTGGATCAAAGTCTGCAGCGGCACGTAGGTGAAGAATTCGAGCAGGAGCTCGTTTGGTAGTCTATCAAACACGCTGGTGGTCTCGTTGGGGGGACTCATCCTCAGGCTGGAACATGCTGATCGGAGAGTAGTTTATGATCAGGATCATAAGCACAGAGCTATCGCATTCTCGGATTCTCACCTGCAATCGTCAGACCGATATCAAATATTATTGTCCCAGTCAACGCCTGAGGTACGGGGTGGTGGTGGTGGTGGGAAGAGATGATCGAGGAAGCAGCTGACTAATTTTGATCCGAAAAGGAAGGTGTTGTGGTTCACCAGGGACAGATGCGACTAGGCACAAGGCGGAATGGTTAAGCGCACAAGGTAATGTTCCTGGTCATAAAAACCATAATTACCTTGGCGTTCGTCAGCCTTTCGGTACTAGAGCACGTCGTTAGATTCAGTCAATTTTTAATCATTGAGCTCAACAATGCAAGGACCTAATCCGTCGGTGAGATGGCCGAGCGGTCCAAGGCGCCAGACTAAGGAGGACCAAGTCGTTTGACGACTGGATGGAAAATATCTGGTCCGAAAGGGCGTGGGTTCAAATCCCACTCTCATCACATTTTGCATGTATGCAAGAATGCTCCGCTCTTTCTACGGACTCAAATTGCGTTCGGAGGGTCTGAAACTCATTTTGCCTTGTGGAAGATTCGAAAATTTGCAAGACAGCGCAGCTTATGTAAAGTTACCATATTTGGACACATCACTCCTATACTGCCGGCGGCAATCCAGCTAAGTAAACCGACCACCTCCCGTACGCGTCCCGTATAACAATCCATAAACAAGGTGAGTACGGGCACACTGTACTGCGGCACATGCTCTCAACGACCCAAGGATTACCTGCTCACAGAAATTCGTGCAAGGTGAACAATTTTGTGGACCATTCGACTCATCTGTCCATTGAGTAAACGTCCACCATAACTATTAACGCGTCCATTCCTTGGAGCCATAAACGAAGACGAGTAATGTACATGGAATCAACAACGATGAATCCGAAAACTAGGAAGAGATACATGTAAGATGGATGAAAACATGCTACGACAATGTCTCCGTGATACTGAAATGGACGTGGTCTCCTTCACCTAAGGTGAGCCTAACTGGCAACCTTGGATCAATGCGAACTGGGGCGCTGGTGCCGACGAAAAAGTCGCCGCGGGTAAAATTTCTTGTGATTGCAGCGGCCTCCTCTTCGGTGAGGTTGCGTGGACGCTTACTCGGGCGAAAAGTCGAAGATGATGCGCCAGTAAATGCACCGTTATAGTCGTAATACTGGTGTTGACTGAGTGTTGGTGCACCGTGCACAAACCCAATCGGGGTTTGGGCGAACGTGGATACACCAGGTGCTAGAGGACGCGTTAAGCGTATGATCGCCGTGTTCGTGGTTCGAACGCGACTCACTTTGATGGGACTGACTGTGATCAGACTCAGGATCAGGGTAGGCGCAACTTGCTCCAATCCCCCTTTTGAGGCAACTCTGCCAATTATTCAGATGCAAGCGGCAGCGAAAGTATAGCCTCATGGACCCACCTGACATGGAAGAACTTCACTGCATCTTGTCTTGCCTGTATGACAGGAAGTACAGGCGCGCCTTACAGAAGGTGCTTTTGCTAGATAAACAGTCTTACTGGCCAAGCTACAACGTGACTACTTGTAAGCTAACCTTTACGAGTCGCAGCCTCTGAAGCAGAACCGTTTGCATTTTGTTGTTGGTGGACATCAGAGCTGTGTTGCTGAAGCTGATGGAGTTGCTGTGTATCTATGGCCGACGCCGCGTCTTGCGCCGGTGTAGATGCCTCACTGAGAGCCGACATGGGAGTTGCGGAGCGGAGAAGTTCCGACGCTATTCGGGCCAAAAGGTATATAAGTAATTCCTCGGAGCGGGTATCCCTATTTATCTGGATTTATGTGTGTTTGTGCATCCGGCACCTCCCGTTGAAACCCGCATGCACGGCGGAGAGGCAGCCGATGCCGTAAGTGCGACCCCACCGGCAACCGGGACAAGAGGAGATTCCGGTCGGGTATCCCTCGAACTTGTACTTACCTTCCACCATGTCACCAACCTCTCCACCCCAACCACCAGTCCCTTTCGCTGATTTCGAGTATGCGTTCGACCCCGCTCTGTCCAGTTTATTCCCTCCTCCACCACTCCCATTGCCATCGTCCGCAGACCTTTTCTCACCATCGGAAACAACAGATCTTCTCGGATTCCTGGACAATTTCAATTGGGAGTTCGAAGCAGATCCTTCGTTAAATGACATCCCAAATCCACCACATATACCATACATATCTGCTCTCCATCCATCCGTATCTCCGCCGCTCGCGGACAACGTTCCTCCGTCTCTTCTTCCTGGACAACTAGCAAACACAGACATATCCGACAAGAGGGTAGCTCCTTTAGAACAGGAGGAAGATGAGCTGGCATTCCGCTCAAATTCGCCACAAAGTAGATCCCAGACACGATCCGCGCGACGCAAGAGCACTTCTGAGCCCCACCAGGCCACCAGAGCCAAACCACTCTTATCCACGCCTCAAAAGCGGCTCAACCATATCATGTCTGAGCAGAAGCGTCGCAATGCCATCCGTGATGGCTATGCACAATTAATCTCGCTCATTGCGCCCGCTGGTACACAGACCATTGACTTGCCATCTAGGGGTAGGCCAAAGGGTAGTGGGACGAGAAGCAAGGGGCAGACAAAAGGCAAGAGCGGCGTGTTGTTCCGAGCCGTCGAATACTGTAGGTGGCTCGAGGAAGGGAAGGATGCTCTTAAAGAGGAGGTTCTTCGTCTGGAAGCTGCTGCCGGCATTGGAGCAACACGCTAAGCGCGAGGCTAGATATGTGCCTCAAGGTTAGTTTCTACGAAGGTATCCGGACATTCCATCTGATGCTCTTGGTAGGACTGATAGTTATATCGCCGTAATATCTTTCTGGCAGTGCCGGAAGAATTTATATGTACTCACGACGCATAATGGACTGGATCATTTATGATTAGCAAACGTGTAGCTTGTTGGCCACGGAACGAAAAGTTGTATTATCACGCTTCAGATATTTATCGATTGCGGCGAAGACCTCATCTGGGGCATGCTCCCTCACCGATGGTCCGATGATATTTTTATCTGTACATGATTGAGCAGTTCTCAGACCGTTTCTCGAAGTGGGCAAGGTTTGTGTTTCCTGGCGCAAGGCGCTTGTTCCTATCTTTATGCCCTCCCTATGCCTCCACCCCCAAATCCTCCAGCAGCCCTTCCGCCATGGCACATACCCAACTTTATACTGAGAGTTGAAGATCTCGACCACAAGGGCGCCTCGATCTTCTTCGAGAACGTCAAGCCCAGCGCGGCTCTCAAGCTTGCTGTAGAAGCATCATACACATGGTTATACACGCCCTTAACAGCACCCACGCAGTAAGTGCGCAGAAGCCCCCTCAGGCCCTTCTGCTAGTTCGATGACGTTCAGACGAAGATCCTCACGAATGATTCTGCGATGTAAAGCGTGCAGAGCATAACGCTCGTCCTTCGATCATTCGAGGGCGTTGCGTATACTTTTGGATCGCACACGGACAAGGAGATCCACTTCTCGCTCGATTACATCGCCGGATCTGCTTCTCGGGCACGAGATGAAATTCTAGGGGTGCTTGTCCACGAGGTTGTTCACTGTTACCAATACAATGCCAAAGATACATGTCCAGGAGGATTGATCGAGGGCATAGCAGGTGGGCATCTGCTACTGATGGCTTGATCGTACATGAGGGGATATTAATCTGTTATGTAGATTTCGTGAGGCTGAACGCAGGCTATGTTCCGCCACACTGGAGACCTGCAGGGGGTGATAGGTGGGACGCAGGGTACGATGCTACCGCATACTTCCTCAACTGGATCGAGAAACATTGCGGAAAAGGGACCATCCGAAAGCTCAATGCATTCATGAAGGACTTGAAATATGACGAGAAGGTCTTCACGGCCGTCGCAGGCGATTCGGTCAATAAACTATGGGACCTATACTGTCAGCAGCTCGAGAAGCGTCGGTAGAACAAGACAATGAGGATAGCTATTCTGATCTGCACACTACCAATCAGCAACATACGTCCTCACGTTCATTGATATTACAACTTGTAGAAGCTACAATGGATAGGTTAAAGCAAAGGATAACAAAACTGATGGACAGCAAATAGGAAATGGCCGAAAGAACGCACTATCCCCACTCCTCCCCTAATTCCCGAGCTAGGAAGTCATCCTCATCGTCACCCTCATCCGCATCGTCTTCCTCCACAGGGCTCGGAACACCTAATGAGGGGGATCCTGGTGCAAGACTGTTGCTACGACTTCGCGACCGCCGCGCAGACGCTATTTGATCTGCGGTAAACGCTTCCTTAAGCCTCGATGACCCTGTCCGACTGGCTGCGAGTTTCTTGCGCTTGGACAGTGGAGAGCGTAGGATTTCTTCCTGTAGTAGATCACCATTACCCCCTTCTGACGGCGTCAGGCTTCGAAGACGTTTCCGCTTGAGCCTGGGCGTAGGTTTTGGGCTAGTGCACAAACCGTTGAGCGGGAAGGTGGGTCCACAGATAAGCGCACAGACAAACCTGTTCTGACTACGAGAGTCATCAGTCATGGCGTCGTCATCATCTGATGCCATAGCACTCCTCACACTGCTACGCTCGCTCCTGGCATCGTCGTCGTCATCGCTCTCATTCATGGCTGCCTCGACCTCGTCGTTGATATCGTTCCAGTCAATGTCGTCGAGCTCAAGCGCCGGGTTGCCGGCAGGGGCGGGCTCAACGTCCCAGTCATCGGCGTCCGGCTCTGGATCGGATGATATTTGGTGAGGGTCGAGATTGGGACTTGGTGCATGGGCTGTTGGGTCATCCAGAAGGTATGGTGTTTCATCCTGCCGTCGCCAAAGCGCTATCGAGTCTGTGAACCACGCTAGCCAGACGATCTTGATTCCACCTCGTTTTCGCGCGGTATCAACTTTGACTGTGCCATGCTAGCGTACCAATTTGAATTAGCAGAATATGGACAATGATATGGGTCACCAACCTTGGCAGCAACGACATGGGTAATCCGACTAGTAATCTCGGTGTAACATCGAGCGCCGAACATATGGGCGACTTTCCAGATCTCGGTGGTTTCTGGTTTTGTGTCCAGTGGTATCACGCTGGAGAAGAGAATGTGCACCCCATCGAGTGTGCTCAAGCGCATTTCTGGAATAATTTGCTACAAAAAAAAGTTAGTGCTGGTCAGATATGATGCAGAGTTGCGCTCACCGTCACGTCATAGGGTTTAGGCGGTTGTGATTTTCCAGGGCTTAGCCTTCGCTTCCTATTCTTATCTTCCGGGGACCGATGGTCGTAGGAATCAAAGAATCGTCGGTGGACTCCTCTCAGTAACTATTCAGAATTCAGATAAGCAACATTACAGCGACTCAATCGTAATCTTACCTCGCCAACTCTCTGTAATTCGATGTCATCATTTTTCAGCAATGCTTTGCGTAAATGCTCGTTTTTCGTTTTCTCTTCAGGCGTGGCAGGGCTCGTCACTTCAGTAAGGACATCATTGCCTG